GTAGGCCCCGCCCCACCCCGCAGCCCCGCCCACATGTTCTGCCCCCAGATCAAGCCCCGCCCCTCCCAGCGGCGGCGCCCCGTCCTGTCACCTTTGCTGCTGCCGTCAGGACCCCGGAGCACGGTGCACTCGTCGATGACCCCGAAGGGCTGGAACAGCCGCAGCACATCCTCCTCTGACTGCTGCTTGTTCAGCATCCCCACAAACAGCTTCCGGTCCCCTGTGGGCGGAGACATCCACCTCAGCCGAGTCCCCAGCCGCCCCAACGTCCCCGTCCCTCCAGCAGAGAGGGGAGGCTGGACAGGGGGCGCCTGGGCCCTGCCGACCCCTGCTCTGCGCGTGCGAGGAAGGACAGAGCCACGCCCAACCCCTGCCCTGATGCCTCCCCCCGCAAGTGCCCTGCACAGTCCCATCGCCAGGCCTGTGAGCACGCATTGTCCCTGCCTGGGATGCCGTCCTTTCGATCCTTCAGGGTCTCTGCTCCCTGGCTACCTCCGGCAAAGATGACCTTCCCCTCCTGTGCACCCGGAGAGCCCACACATGGTGCCAGGGTTAGGAGCTGCCTTGCCGGGCCTAGGTCCCTTTCTGTCTGTCTGCCCCCTAAATCTGCCAGACGGTGGTGTGCGCTCCTGGTCCCCGCAGCCTCACGGTGCCCAGCAGAGCCCCCTGCCCAACCTTGCCGGGGCTCAGGAGGGGCCATGCCATCAATGTCTCTGGAACGAGTGAGGGCACGTGTGGGCATAGGACCAGGTGCCTAGGGAGCCTGGGGCCCCCACCTGGTGGGGCTGGGGTGGGGCCCTGGCTGGAGTCCCGCTGGGCCCTGCCCACGTCCGAGGCCAGGGGCTGGGCCAGCCTCTCCCCTCGGGTAATTGCGCTGCTCCGCGGTAATCAGGAACGTGGCAGCTTCATCTCTCAGGGATGGTGAGGGGGTTACTATGGAAACCGTTCTCCAGCAGCTGTCACTCATGGGGGTGGGAGGGGGAGAGAGAAACGAAGCAGAGAGACTGAGAGTCAGGGAGAAAGAGACAGATGAGAGAGAGAGACAGGGACAGACTGACAGAGACAGAGATAGAGAGAGACAGTAAGAGACGAGAGAGAGAGAGAGGCGCAGACGGAGAACCAGAGAGACAGGAGAGAAAAAGAAGAAACAGAGATACAGGGGGTGGGAGGGAGAGAGAGAAAAAGAAATAAAGGGACAGAGACAGACTGACAGAGATAAAGCAGGAGAGACCGAGATAGAGACATAAAGACCCCACCTCTCTACTCCCCGACCCACACTGGCAGCCTGGGTGGAGAGTGTGAAAGTGCTTCCAGCCCAGGGGGGCCTGCACCAGGCTCCTACACATACACCGGGGTCCTGACGGCCCTGCCCCACATCTCCCCTCCCCCCAGTCTGGCCGCTCTTCTTCAGCCCCCCTCCACCCAAGGTGGGGACGGGGTATGAAAGTCCCCAGGAATGAGCCTTGGATCTCACTGGGGACAGCCGAGCATCACGCCCCCACACTGAGATCATGCCCCACGGAAACACCCACAATGCCAGCCCAGACGACCAGCCTCCAATAGTCAAGCCACTTGCACGAAGCTCCGCGCCCACGCACCGAAGGGAAGACGCCCCCACCACGCAGCTGCACATGCGTGCTCGTGTGCATAGCTGCAGCAACGCGAACGCACGGGGGCACATCCTCGCACATGTCTGCACACAGGCCTACCCAGATGTTCACACTCACATACACACATGCGTGCAAACACGCACGCATGAACACACGGCAGCCAGTCACAGATCCACAGGCCTCTGCCACTGTCCCTCCAGGGGTGAGATGTAGGAGGGACTGCCCTCCTTCCTGCACCCCTCCAGCAACCCCCAGCCTGGGAACGCGGACAGATGACAACTACCTCCGCGGCTCTCGCTGTCCGCAGGCTTCACCTGGATTGGCCGCGCCATCTGTGGAGAGAGGCAGGAGGGGGAAGTCAAGGTCTGTAATGTTGCGGGGGGGGGGGCAGGCACCACTGTTAACCCTCCCACCACCAACCCTCAGCACCCCACCCACCCCACACACACCCCAGTTAAGCCAAATAACATATGGCCCTACCTACGGGGTGGGACCTGTCTAGCAAACTCTTAGCCTTCAAAACCCAACAAGAAAATCCCTTCTTCCAGAAAGCCACCTTGGCTCCCCAAATGTGACAGATTGTTTGCAGAGGTGGCCAATTCCTCCCATCCCTATATATGATGTGACTTTGCACTTCCTACTGTCAAGAACTGGAGTCTATTCCTCTACTCCTGCCATCTAAACTTGGCTGTGTGACCTGCTCTGACTAGTAGAACATGGTGGAAGTTAAGTGAGAGTTCTGAGCCCAGACCTCAGGAGACCTCACGTCTTCCACTCTTGCCCTCTCAGAACCCTGAGATTGCCAGGTGTGCAAGCCCAGGTGAGCTACTGAAGGAGAGATTTCATGGAGAGAGAGGCCCCACTGCCAGATAGCATGTGGGAGTGAGGCTGTCCTGGCCCAGCAAGCTCCAGTCAAGCCCCAACTGACAGCAGCTGCATGAATGACCCCAGGAGAGGCCAGCAGAAGAACCATATAGCTGAGCTCAGACCAAACTTAAACCCACAGAAACATGACTGAATTTGAATCAACACAAATAAAATGACTAGTGGTGGTTTGTTATGCAGCAGTAGCTGACTGGTACACCAAGGCAGCTACTTTTAAACAGATCCCATGAGCTTTGAGTAGAGAGGACTGTCACACCTGAGTGGACCAGCCTACTGTCTGGACTCATTGTTCTGGACACTTCTGTCCCCTACTCCAGGCACTGAAAATAACACACAGTGGAAGAAATCCTCCCTCACCCTCACCTCCCCCCCCACCCCCACAACATACCCAGTCCTGGGTATGGGCTAATTTGGATATCTAAAAACAGACTTGAGGGGTGTGGGAGTACAGAAGGCATTTGCTTGTCCACTGGTCCTGGGACAGAATCCTCCTCCTAAACTGGTGTCGCTGGTGAACTCCTACTCATCCTTCAAAACCCAGCTCAGGGGTCGGCCTGGTGGCGCACTGAATAAGTGCGCCGCTTGGGAAGCGTGGTGGCGCTCCCGCCCGAGGGTTCGGATCCCACATACAGACCGGTTCCCGCTCACTGGCTGAGCGAGGTGCGGGAGCAACGCCGAGGTTTGCAATCCCGTTGCCGGTCCCCGGTCTGGTACGGGGGCGACACTGAGGGTTGCGATCCGTTGCCGGACACGGAAAAAAGACAAAAAACAAAAACAAAAACAAAAAAAAACCCCAGCTCAAAAGCCCCCATGCAGGCAATCCTTCTACCCCTCTGGGCTCCTTCCTCTGCATCAGAGCTGGACATGTCTGTATCTTTCTGTCTCCCTCCAGACTGGGAACCACAGCATTGCCCCACGTGGAGCTGGGTATATGGAGGAATCAGAGGAACTTGCTGAACTGAATGGGCCAGAAGGAAGTGGTCAACTTCCACCAGCATAGAAAGGCACAGTGCTGGCCCCAGACCCTCTCCAGATCAGACAATCTCTGAATAGGTCCTCACGTCCCCTCAGCCCTGGGGGGCTGCAAAGTGCTCTTTCTACACTTCTGACTTTGGAGGCGTGGCACAGAGAAGGCACTTGATAAACATCAGCTTTTCTAACCACAGCACAGCTGCCCAGCAAGCTTCAAAGACAGGCACAGTTTTCACCCCATTTTATCGATGTCAGCATTGAGGTCTGGAGAGAAGTGATTTGTCCAAAGTCAGGGCAGGTGAAGGCTTCCTGGACTCCAGATTCAGAGATCTGTCCACCCACTCCCACGAGTAGAGCCCCCTTGGCATCTTTGAACCCCCAAAGTCTCCTCCCCTCTGAACTCCCACCCCTTCTCTCAGACCGTGTCCCAGCTCTACATCCACTGTTCCACTCTGAGACCCCCTCTGAGCCCCCTCCCCACTCTGATTCCCTCCCCCTTCTGAGACCCTCCCCCTTTCTAAGTGTATGTCCCAGGCACACACCTATGGGCTGCCTCAATTTGAACTCAGCCCTGGGATCCCCAGAATCTGCCCCAGCCTCTCAGATCCACTGTTTCCAATTCTCCCAGCCCGACATTCCTGCTGCCCAGCCGCACCACCAGAGGGACCCTGACCACTTGGAAAAAGTGCTAAACCCCTGTCTCCCTTCCCCCACCCAGTCAGCCAGATCCCCCTCACCCCACACGTGTACACACACACACACACACACACACACACACACACACACACACACACCGGGACCCCTCCACCTGGGTACCACGCCCTGCTAGCAGGAGGGGAGATGATTGCAACCAGATGGGACCAGCTTCTGGGCTGGGGGCAGACTGGGGTGGCCAGGGGAGGTGGGGGAAGAGGATGGGGGTCACCTGAGCTCAAGCCTCCTGCTCCGCCCCACCCCCTCCCACTCCGCCTCCGCTGGCCCTCACCTCCTCTCCCCTCCCAGCACCTTGGGCAGATGAGGATGGGGTTGCCATGGCAACGCTGATTCACCACACGGAAGCTGGCAATTGTTGTTGCCATGGAAACCGCCTCTTAGGGGCGAGCCCAGCTCCTGCCTTGCACAAAAGAGATATTTAAATATAATCTTCTGGAGATGGATGAGCCGAGGGAGAGAGGGAGGGGCGGCCACGGGGAGAGAATGTGCCCCCATCACTGCACCCTCCACTCCCACCCCACTCTCGGGGCCTGGGGTACCTGCTCCCCCTCTGCCCGCCGGCCGCTGAGCTTGGGACCTTCCGCCTCCTCCGGGGAGGCCCCCTCCCCCTCCTGGGTCAGCTTGTCGGCGGGGAGAGGGGTCCTGGTCTGGCCCAGAGAAGCCAGGGGGGCAGCCCCCTCCTTCCCAGCGCCCCCACTCCAAAGCCGAGCTCCGAGGCCCGGCCGCCCCACCCCGCG